TTATACTTTTCTAATGACTACTTGCACTTGCTCATACGATTTTTCAACAATTTATGGCGATATTTACAAAACCGCCTATCATTTCAGAAACGAATTCAGACCAGTCTGTGAATATGAACATTTTCACACAAGTTAGAGACTTCTAAAAATCATCATAAAAATTATGACAAGACTAAACACATTTTCTAAACTCTCAGAGTTTACAGATTCAGTTTTCGACTTCGTATGATTTTTATATGATTTTTCTAAAACAGTGCAGAGAAGTTAAAAACTAGTTAGATAGCTTACAATATTAACAACACTTTGTAGCATTTGAGAAAAGTGTATAACAATAAGTTTCTAAATTTTGAATGTATTTCTTGTTAGTCTAACATCATAAACAGAAATTACTCATTCATGATAAGGATTTTCATACACTTCAAATAAGTACAATACACTATAATAAGTATAGTTTATGGATTTTTACAATACAAACATACTACGTAGAAAGGGGATTCAATTCTACCACAGAAAAGGGTTTTACTCTCAATACAAACGGGTTTTCATTTACCACATGATAGACTATAATAGGTATAGTTTATGGATTTCACATTACAAACATACTACACGAAAGGGGATTTCAATTCCACCACAGAAAATGTTTTACACGCATACTACACGTAAACTCGTTATCGTAATTTATGAGACTAGTCTTCATTGTACTCTTAGAGTACGGGTTAAAATTTCCTAAACAGTTATAACCAGAGTCTCTTGTAGGGAGAGCATGATAATTGTGTATAGATCTATATTGGGATTGACAAGCCACACCCATGCTGCTTGCAAAAGCCTGATCGGCCGATCGGGGGTGACAAATATCATTTCGATTCCGACGCCTTAAGAACGTCGCAGCAGGCATCTCTGTTATAGTATGGTTATAGCGACTCAGATAGGAGAATAACGACACATATAGTTTACGGGAATTTCTACTTTAAAAAGGGGTTTTACCTATTTTGAAACTGCTTACAAACACATTACAAGTACAAAACACACATACATTCAGTCTTGGCATTTAAGACTACATAACTTTTTATAAGGAAAATATTGGATTTTTCTTGGGTATACATAACAATTACAAACACGTTGCAAGTACAAAACACACACATACATTCAGTCTTGGGATTTCAGACTACATAACTTTTTATAGGGAAAATATTAGATTTTTCTTGGGTATACATTACAATTACAAACACGTTACAAGTACAAAACACACACATACATCCGGTCTTGGGATTTAAGGCTACAAAATTTTTATAAGGAAAACATTGGATTTTCTTGAAGTATACATTACATTTACAAGCAAAGGTTTTCAAAATCTACATCCAAAAGGTTATGAACTCACCAACTTATATGTTGACACTTTTTCAAAACTACTTGTATTATCAGGAAATCAGTGAACCATCAGAGTGTAATTGATTTTTGAAACATGTAAACTCATAATATGGTGTAATTTTTTTTATAATTATGATGGTTGTATTTGCTTTAGTTTATACTATACTCGTTGTTATGATACTATACATGAAGTCCGCCACCCCCAAACGTTTCCGCCATCCTTGGTTTGGGGGTGTGACAGAACAGCTATAGAAAACTTTGTGAAGTCTTCACATCCCTTGTAGAGGGTCTTCTCAGAATCTTCTAATAGGTTTTTAAACTTTTCAGGATTTTCTACAAAATTTTGTTATGTGGCTTCAACCATCTCTATTATTTTTTGGTTATCTGTTCGAATTCCCTTATCTGCAAAAATCTATGAAATACACAAAGAATGATGTGTCCCTTGAATATTTTTCTTTAGAAACCAATTTACTTGTTGGGGTCTCTTTTTATCCATGCTTAGTCCAGTTGGTATAGTTTTGATCGATTACATATCTAAATAAATGAAATGCTACAATATCAACAAGTTGATATATGGTTTACACAATCTGTGCATTGACATGGAATTTTTAGTTTCATTAAACGTTTATTAGGGTCCATATTCATCACGACCTTGTAATTGGTTATTGTATGATCAATAAAGTTTAAAACACCATCCCTATACTGCTGTGTGTTTCTAGGAATCTCGATCCATGACTTGTCCATATTAATATATAAATTATGTTTAATATATCTTCAACCAATCATATACAGTTAATGAGTATTTAGAATGTTACTTACACTGATCAATTCCAGACGGACGCACAAGAAAAGGTTCTAGTTGTTGAAGATATTAGGGTTAACTTTTTCTGATTTAGGATCGAAGAAGTAAGTATCATTTTTGCGTAATACTAAAATAAATTAAATAAATCAATACATGTGAATTACACTTTAACAATTTTTATTATGCAAATCCAATAATTAATAATAAAATAAATTACATGGGTCTAGGGTTATGGGTTGGTTCTATGATGTTGTTGATAAGGAGCATGCATGTTAGGTAATACCCATGACCCGGGACTGATTGAGTGGATAGGATAGACTACATGTGGTTGGGTGTAGGGTTATGGACAGGTTCTATGATCTTCTTGTTAGGAAGAATGCATGTTCGTTACGAAGCATGACCCAGGATCGATCGAGTGGATAGATATATTGTATGTGGTCGGGTCTAGGGTTATGGGTTGGTTCTATGCTCTTGTTGTTAGGGAGCATACATGTTGGGTTCAATCCCTGATCCGTCGTGCATGTATCCACTCCATACACCATAATTAATCGAGTGTAAAGGTATATTGTATGTGGTTAGGTCTTGACATTACATTCTTTATTATTTTTTAAATAATTTTGATTCATTTAACTTTTAGTTATATGAATTTGTAGGCTAAGTTGAAGTATTAATCTTAATGTATCAATAATGTAATTAATTTAAAATATTTAAACGATCCCGCCACATAATTCCCTGAAAATTTCAAAATTTTCAAATCAATTTTAGGGTTCTCTAGTATGTATCATATCATATTTTGGAAGTAATATGAATTTATCAACACAACTAAAGAACGAATGTGGGTTTCAGAAAAAGATTGCGAGATGAATTTCACTTCTAACACAAAGTGGGAAGTCATATTCAATGTCAGCGCGAAAAATATACCAATTCGAATCTTCATAGAAAATGTCGACATATTAGGTAAGCAACTTTAATCTTGGAAATGATTATTGTAAAACCTAAAAACTGAAGTTAAGTATTCCATTACAACCGAAATGTTCTTCGTTAACTAGCATTATTGACTGCTAAAGGGCTCATATACAACACTTAGGCGTGTGTTTTCTGTAAGTATTTCAACAACTCTTATAATTACTTTGCTATTTCGTTACTGTTGATGATGTTATATATTAATGTTATATGTGCAATGTGTGATACAAATTACCTTATTAAAATACTAATCATATTGTAACTCAATGTTTTATGTTTGAGGAAGCATCATAGATGAGGAAAACAATATGTATGATGACATGACAGAAGATGAAATTGAAAACCAAGAACAGTTGGAAAACCTTTTTGATGATGACATGAAAAATTATTCTGATGTAAATGAAGATGAAGATAATATCAACACTGAACTTAGTAGTGACTCGGATTGTAATTCAAATAAAGAAGAATCTAGACAAAAATCAATGCTTACAAAGCCACCAAGGAAGAGGGGATTGAAAAAACTCTCTAAGATGAGGGCTAACTTTATATATTATGCTTGCAAAAGAAAACGTGTATGATTTGACAGATGTGGAAGGCTAAAAGGGAAGTATAGGTCATAATTTCCATGTTTTTCGGGTGACCTAGTACGTGAGAGCTTTGGTATTAGTGTCGACATATGGAAGAAAGTATCTAAAGAAGTTAAGGACAAAATATGGGATGAGATAACGATATAAAATAGTTGTTTTCAATCATTTTTTTCTTATTGTCAATTGCAATTTAGTTTGATGCCTAACATAAAACTTCTTATTATTACAGCGTTACTGTAATATTGATGTGAGTCGAAGACCAGATGTAGTGAGTCAGCTTGAAAACCTTCTAAAGAACTTTAGACGTAAATTTTATGATAGAGGGATAAAGCCATACTTAAATAACTCATATAAACTTAAAAATATTCCTAAACAGTTATGTTTTATCATCCTTAATAAAAATCATTGGAAAGCTTTTGTAGAACATACAAAATCAGAGTATTTCCAAGTATAAATTGCATATACTTATGTAGAACATACACAATCAGAGTATCTCCAAGTATAAATTGCATAATTATCCTTTAATTTTGAATTTTATTATATGTTTTTTTAGAAATAAAAGTAATGATTTGTTTGATATATATTGTTACATAAGGATGGGTCAAAGAGAAATGTGGCAGCACGGGCCAATTTGCCTTATCACACATAGGATAGGACGAAGGGGATATTGTTATGTACATGAGAAATTGGTATGTTCACTGTATTATTAAATTTTGATTATTAGTTTTTCTTTAGCATAATTGTTTTTCTTAATGATTATAAGATTTATGAGAAGGTAATAGGCAAAGATGAATAGCCCCCTCTCCTTAACGTAATGTAAAGCCTATCAAACTAAAGAAGGCCACATTGTTGATCCAAACACCAAAGTGAAAGTAGATGAGATTGTAAGTGTTATAAGTTTTAGCGTTTATATAAGTTTATGTTATTTAACCATTTTTTCTACAATTTTTCTGTTAAACTTGAAAAAGAAAAAAAATACGTAAAGGGGACTTGCAGCTTAATAAGGACACGGATGTAATGACACTAGTATTTGTCAAGGAAAAAGGTAGGTCTTTCAAGGGGGTTGGCTTCGGAGTTACACAAAAAAATACTTCAATATGCTGAGAAGTTGGAGATCTTCATGTAACGAGATGAGTGAACTGAAAAGTGAATTAGAGAACAGTAAAAAAGAGATTGAGGATAAAGATGATGAACTAAGGGAGGTTATGAAACAAAACGAAATGTTAAAACAAGCATTATCCACACTCAAAACTCAAGGAATTAAGGTACCAGGTCTATCAATGCCAGAGGATTTGGTTGTATCACAAGTGAGTAAAGTCTCATTTTCAACCCCTTCAATACATTAAAATTTTCAATATGATACTTAATATCTAGACAAAAGAAGGTTGTTTGTTTTTTAATTTATATGAGCTATATTTATACTTTTCCTATTTTTTGATGCGGATACCTTTATCAGTGGACATGACTTTTGAATTAGAGCCTATTACAATCTGTGATAATTACCTAACAAAGACAAATGAGTCATCAAGACATATAAGTAATAAGTTAACATTCATGTACTATAGAAGATAGATTTATGGTATTTAGATTAAATGTAGTTATACTTTCCTTCTTTATATTTGAAGGTAATGTCAACAACGACAATAATGTTGGATTAGAGCTCACTCTCGTCACAACCAAGAATAAAACAAAAGCAAAAGTATCATTAGCATTAATATGTAATTACTTAACATTGTTATAATGAATATTTATACCTTTTTTTTCTTTAATTATTTAGGTAATGTCATCTGTAGGCAACAATGTTTCACTGGAGACCACTGCAATGAATAAAAAATTTAAATCACATACAATTGAGTCCATAACATCAGTAAGCATAATGTTAACATTCTTTTACCGTAGAAGATTTTTTTTTATTTACATACAACCTACTTATACTTTTCTTCTGTATTTTTGTAGGTAATTTATGTGGACAAAATTATTGCATACGAATGCACTCCAACATAGAAAAAAAATAAAAACAACACAAACGAATCAGTTTCTCCCGTAAGTAAAAACTTTAAAATTTGAAAATTTTTAATATATTACTTCCAATTACTTAAGATTACACATATTTGATTACATTTATGGTTTTCAGGAATTTGGAAAACTCAAGAAAATAAGTTTACAGCCAAAAACACAATAAACTCAGGCACCAAAAGACATACAAGTATGTATTGCATCATCTAATAATTATATAACTATTTTAACTATGCTATAATTCTCTGTAGGAGATAAACTGTGATGTATACGTAGCAGAACGAATAACAAGAAACCTTGTTGCCCGTCGTAAAGCTTACTTTTCAATAGGAAATCAATATGTTCATGAGATTTGACTACAAGATGACTGCTATAAGGTGTTCATTGAAGAAGTGTTAAAGGAGAATGCATATTTATCAATTCCAACTACCAAGCACACATTAGTTGGAGAAACACATAAATGTTTTGTGGCTTGGACAAAAGACCTTGCAATAGTATATGGGAAGATTTATTTAATTTGTTATATATTTTTAAGTATTTCTTTCTTTTAAGAGTAAATTACTAAAATCGTCCCTATGGTTTGGTCAAAATTGCAAGTTTGGTCCCTAAATTTCTTTTTGCACTCGGATCGTCCTTGTGGTTTGATTTTGTTGCATTTTTCGTCCCTTACATACATAAAGTTAGGAACCAAATGTGTAATTTTGACCAAACCATAGGGACAAAAAACGCAACAAAATCAAACCACAGGGACGATCTGAGTGAAAAAAAAAGTTAGGGACCAAATGTGCAATTTTGACCAAACCATAGGGACAATTTCAGTAATTTACTCTTCTTTTAATCATTTTTGTTTTAATGTAAGACTATACATACAAATTGTGTTGCTATATATATCGACTAAAACTTCATGTATGGAGGGTAAAATTTATCAGCCCTAAAAAATGCAAAGTACAATACATATCACCTGCATCCTTGAAGACAAGAAACATTTTGACTAAGAGGGACCGTTAATGTAGCATTTATTTTATGACATATATTTCATTTTCTGTTTGTGTAGATGTTATGTATATTTTGATTACAACATTTGTGTATATTACTTAAGTTGTATATATGATTAATGTTAATTTATTCTATTCTTGTTACTATTGTAGTATATATATGTACAACATTTTAATATTATCGTCGTCTATTCATAAATATTACCAAATGTTAATTAGAACCATGATCACAAAATTAAATGTGCCTAAAGGGTAACAAATAGCCACACCAATTAGATAAAATGCGATGGTTTTAACAATTATGTGTCGCCAAAAGCAACCAATTGTCATATTTTTTTTCTTTATGTGACTAAAGGTAACAAATAGTCACATCAATTAGAAAAAATGCATTGTTATAACTAATATACAGGGATGGTTTTAACAATAAAGTCTAGCTAAAAGCAACCGATGGTCATGTTTAATTATTTATGAATTTTCTTTATATGGCTAAATGATATCATATGTCATACTATAACGTAAATAAATGTCACTAAAGAGTAACTAATAGCCACATGAGTTAGAAAAAGGTGTTGATGTACCTAATATACAACGATGACATTAACAATAAAGTGTGACGAAAAACAACCAATGGTCACATTTATATGTTTATGAGTTTTCTTTATGTGTCTAAGTGATATCATATGTCACAGTATAACATAGATAAATGTCATTAATGGTAACTAATAGCCACATGAGTGGGCTATACATACCATTCAGCGATAATTTAACAAATATACATGACAAAAAAACAAACAATAGTCACATTTGTTTTCATTATGTTACTTGTTCGTGTGACTAAATGATTTCACAGGCCACACTTTACCGTAAATTAATATAAGTAAATGGTACCAAATGGCCACATCATTTAGAAAATAAGTGTAGTTATAAGTAATATTAAATGATTATTTTCACAATTATGTATCACAAATAGCCAATCAACAGTCATATTATTTTCTTTAAAAGTTTTTTTATTTGACTAAACGATATCATACATCATGATTTAACAAAAATAAATGTTACTAAAAGATAAACAATAGCCACATCAAATATAAAGTAATTATGGTTAGCACCAACTCGTCTCACGTTATATGTGACTAAAAGGTAGATCATAGGTACACTTAAATGATGAATTTAATGTGGCCGTAAACACCTATGGTGTCACGACATACGGTCATACTTTTGACGAAAAAAATAATATACGTGTGGTCGTAGGATATAGTCACATCTTTAGACCTTAAAAAATATGGTCATAAGTCATTTTTCTTGTATTGTTAGGATTTTGTAAATTTCATGCCGCTTTGCTCCAGCCTAAATTTCTTGCTTGTTAAGCCAGAGAAAGTTACTTTAATACTTGTAATTAAGACCCGAAATTTAATAAAAAGGGTGTTTCCTGCTACTTAATTAAAAGAAAAAAAAATAAGAGGAGGTGGTCATAAGTCATAACATGTTGGGTACCTAAAGTTATTACCTACTCCTATGAATTAAATACATAACTTTAAACCCTTAAACTGTGATCGGTTCAACGGTCAAGATCTTATCTCAGTATTCATTTGGTTCTTCATATAAGTTCCATGTAGAGAGCGAATCCAAGAAGCCAAGAATTTCATTAGTGCTAAACAAGAAATGGGTGGAGACAAGAAGTCATTCTTCTCGTTCTTTAGCATCTTCAGGTTCAAGAAGAGTGCTAGAGGAGGGGATGATGCTTGGGATGAGGCTGTGAAGGCTTACAAAGTGTATCCTAGTGATCAAGACCGAGGTGGAAGATGGGCTGATCCTCGTATTGACAGTAAAGCTTCTGCTTACATTGATGACAGGACCAACAAATGGAACACAATCGATGTATCAAGCTGATAGATATGAGGTGAAACAAATGATGAAACGTAGATCTTTCTACATTTGATATGTAACAACATAGTATTCAGATCGCAAGATAATAAATAATTTGTTTTGTTTGTTTATATTAGTTATAGTACGTACGCCATGGATCTTTTCTATAAATCTTGTCAAACCTTGTATATTAGCAATGGGCTTTCACTATATTTTTATTTGTTTGAAATGAACTAACCCTTTTATGTGATTCGGTTCATAAATAAAATGAAATAATAATGATAACTAAATAAGTGAACATTTCAACTATTGTGTGTTCTCTCATGCAAGATGATCACGTAAATTTCTATTTCAACATATATTCGTAGTTTATTTATTTATTTATTTATTTATTATTATTTTTTTTTCATTCTCACTGTCTACTTTACGTTACATAATCTTTGAATTTCAATGTGCTCGCTGGCATAGTTACAAAACACCCTAGGTTATTTCATTTGCCTTAGATTGGAGTCTCATGTGTAGCTAATCAAGGTTAATGATTTCGACTAACTTGGTAATGTTAATTTCTAACCGCAAACAACTCATTAAAAAAAAAATTACAAAGTAATACAACATGTATGACCAACTAGTTGAAACTTTTACAAGATAATTAACCTTCAGACATTCGTTCTACTGTTGCGCTTATATATATCACCTTTTATGTAAGTAGAGACACGAAAAGCTGCAAAATTAAAGTTAATTGTTTCCTAGTTCTTTATAGAAAACTTAATGCATCATAGTTGCATGTTGAATTTACTAGCTAGCAAATTGTTTATAAAATATTTTTGAAGACGGTGGCATCCAAGAAAGTTCGAGGAGAGCTTGTGCGGTGGTCATTATTTTTTGTTACACCAAAAACAGATTATCTCTACGTTCGATTGAAATGAAATATCCCTTTTGATATCCACTCAGTAGGTAGCTTTATACTGCCCAAATGTTGGCCGAAAAGGGAGATTCTCTTGTTAAAATACTTTATTTAGCCCAGTCCACTAATATTTGCATCTTCGAAAGCTTAAATAACAAACCACACAATGGCTGATTAATAACCAAAGAGAGCAAGAGAATATCTAAACGAACAAAGATCCATCTTTTTACTGTTGTAGCAGAAGTCGTGGCATAGTTATAAGTGCTCGGTTTAACAACTTTGAGAATTCTATTCATTGATTAAACCAAAGATTTACAACGGAAAATGCCAGTTAAATTCATACACCGTCCTTGTTTAATGTTTGTCTTTGGACAGAATAGGATCTTGGATATGTCTATATGTGGTTCAACTCCTTTAGACCCTTAAATGAAATTACTATCGGTTTCTTTTTTAAATATTCTCCCGTATGAGTTGTCATGAACATTTGATGACTCTTATTCCACCAAACGCCCCCCTCGTCAACCATTTAATTCCAACACTCCTAAGTTTTGTGAAGCATCTACAATTTTCTGTTTTCCACCTCCTTTTATTGTAAGTGAAGGATATTATGAACCTATAATTGAAGTAAAAAAGATGTGACACCACATTTTTTACACTTTTCTTTTACGTGATGTTAAATGTACATAAAAAATTCACGTTAGAAACTTCAAGTCATTAGCATCAAAGTAAAAAAGGTGGGACATTAATCTGTTTCTTATCTATCATCTATACAAAAGACATGAATGCCCTCAACATTCTCATTATTAAAAATAGACCTACAAGTTTGTATAGTCTCTTCCCGTGCAGTCCAGTTTCCATCGTGTGTAACACAACTTAAGGTGCTAACTATAATTAGGTAGAAAATTCAAAGTTAATGGACTTAATAAGCAAAAAAATCAAAGTTTAATGCAATAATTGTGTATAATTTTCAAAATACAATGCCTTAATAAGTTAACACTAGAATTACAATGCTATGATTGGATTGAATTTTCAGATAAAAATGCCTTAATAAGAAAAAAGCTCATGGTACATTGCTATACTAGGTTATGATTTTCAAAGTACAATGCTATTATGGGTTAGATTTTTCAAATAAACTATCTGAATAAGACCTTGGAAGTATCATGCTATAATTGGGTTTTTTTTCTAAGGAAAAGGCCTTAATAAGAAAATAGTTCACAGTATAATGATATAATTGTTAGATTTTGCAAAGTAGAATGTTTTGTTTAGAAAACATTGAAAGTAGATTGTTATCGGTTGGTAGATTTTTGTGAGTACATTAATGCATGAATATGAAACTTTTGTGAGCTACAACAGTAAAATAGAAATATTTGTAAGCTTTTATTTTATTTATTAAATTTTGGAAATGAGACGTGTAAAAGTAGGATGTTGTAATACACAGATAAATGGAAGTACATTGTTATGAGTGTTTATGACGCAAATTTACATAGAGATGGTTGTTGTGGAGGCTTTTCACAATTTATTTTTTTATTTCTTGTTGGGGATATATAATAGGTAAATTCAAATGTTACTTTATTCAAATATTACTTTATGTTTAATTGAAAAGACTTAGCTGGTTCAATATAGATATTTTTATCTATTTGAAAATGTAAACAAGCTCATGATTCATCTTAATGTAATCCTATTTTATTCGTCTTAATGTTGTCCTATTATATATAAACTCACTCAAATTTCGGGGGCTCCCTGTCCGATGAAGTCTCATGGTAGATGCCTATTCTTTTTTACTTTTGTTGATCATTAATCAAGGAAGGTATGATTTCATTTTCTAAAGACAAAGGATGAAGTGTTTGGACAGTTCATGGAATGGAAGAACATGGTTAAAAATGGACGGTTAAAGAAGTCAAGAAACTCATAACTGATAATGGGTTGGAGTTTGCGATGAACCGTTTGACAACTTTTGCAAAACATAATGTATAGGGAGAGACCGCATTGTACAACATATACCACAACAAAACGGATCATCAAAATGCATGCGCTAAACATGGATGCATCATAGAAGATACATGTGATGATGTAAAACTGGAGTCGAGGGCTATACAACTCTTTAGGAGATTTGGTATGGGAAACCCTCCAAGTATTGTCGTTTTTGTATATTTGGATCCCCTTGTAATAATAATAAAAACAATTGGTTTAAGAAAGTGTCAAAGTTTAAAACTTTAATTGTCAAGAGTCTAAAACTTTACTGGGGCCAATAATGCCAATGTAGCAATTTTACGGGACTGAAAGTGTAAATCATGGGATTAACCCATGATTTTGATGTGATCATGGGACTAATAATCCTTTTGTCCAATAATTTTCATATCTTTCTTCTCCATGGGTGCGTTTTGATCAACAAACCACATCACCACCATCGTTTCCCACCATCATCGCCGCCACATAACACCGTGTTAGGGTAAATATGGTTGGTTGTTATTAGTTCGAAAGTCATGTGTGGTCTAGAGTATTTGGATGCTAGATTACTTAATAAATTAAGTGATGTATAACATGAAATCATAAAACCCCAGTTGACATATCTCCGTAAGGTATTATACTTTGTTTTCCCTTTTATACACCATAACTTGCGTTGTGGTTTACACCAGCAAACAAACTTTTTGTCATCACACTTTATTATCAGTCTTAAGACCTCATTTTATAGCTATGAGGTCATTTTCATAATGAATTAATGGGTTAGGAAACCAATTTAACCCGAAAGTCAAAGTAATGATTTCATGTGATAATTCCTTGTTTCTTTCATGTTTTGCAAAAATCATAGTAAAATTGTGGAAGGTCGGATTTAGGTAGGGTTAGTGCCAAAAGTTCGAAAATTTAGTCTTCTAACTCGATGATTTTTCTTTAACCCGACTGATGGATACAACTTAGGTGAAAACTAAGATTTTCATTGATTAGTGTGGTTTTATTGGATATGATACACTGCATTGTAAAATTCATAATAAATTGTAGAAAAATCACATGGGATTGTGCAAGTAGTACCTTGAAATCTAAAAGACATAACTTCTAGAATATGGAAAAGTATTGCAGTATTAACGGTTTTTGGTGGTGCTAAAGTGGTCATGAGCAGACTGTTCTTTCAGGTCATAAATTTTTAAATAAATCAAGTAACTTATTTTTATATCTAGGGCTAAGGGCTAGCAATCAACACTCTTATTTGGTATTATAGGTGTTTTGTGAAGTGTTTTGGTTTTGTTGGATTTTCAGGCTATTACTGGAAGTCTACATTGTTATTCAAAGTGAGATTATCACTAAATTCTATGATATTACGAATCCTACACTTTAGCTCATTTGTGTTTGTTAGATGTATGTGGGTAGTACTAGGATATGTTAGCGTATAGTAGTTGTACGATGCCGTCTCAACATATTGACGAATATACGTATGGTATCTGTTCCACATAACTGATCCATTCCTATTTCATAGTTGATTAGCTAGTTGGATAAGCAGTAGCTACCTTGGCTAACGATTAGTTGACATGGGCCAAATTCGGTTTCATAGCTAGTTTTAATGTGTATGATTTGCCTATATATAACGACTAATTGCTAATGATTCAATTTTATTGTAACAAATATCATTTTGAAACTTATGAATAAGAGTATTTACTCAATTCTGTTTACGTGGTTCATATTTTTCAAACCACGTAAATATTGAGTCTTTATGTGTTTGCGTGTGCCTATTCTCGTTCTCTTCTTGACAAACGGACCTATACCCTAGTTAACCAATAAAAGAATAGGACTGATAAAAGGAATTAGAGACATTGATGATTGTCACATATCAAGCAATAACTATTTGAAATTCATTAGTCATTACTTGGATGAGGTTTCCATTTATATGCTAGAGCATATTTTATAATAGTTCATCTATTATGGATGTATTGATTTTACCTCTTGAGTAGATCATAGAAGATGATTTAAGTTTCTGGTAATATCCATACCACAATACCAGCAATGTAAAATATACACAGGAAGAAAAAATACATCACATACCGCGCACATGTATAAAATGTTATTTAATAAATAGAAAACAAACATAACATAATATTACCCATGAGGTAAGTAAAGGGTCTCCTAGAGA